TTCTTATTGTCATTATTCAGATCTGATTTCTTTTGGTATTAACTTGTAACTGTTCTTGAAGTTGTTGTGAAATATGTTTATTAATAAGGTATGAGTTGCATTCTCAGAGTTATCAGAGGGCAGTTTTACAGTAAATTAAGCAGTTTTAGCACAAATTAAGTCTTTTATGATCAGTTTTCTTTCAAGTGAAAAACTGTCATGGCAGAGCAATCCTTCGATAAAGGATCTTACAAAGCAAACAGTTCTAGCAGTTTTATTCTGAGCCTCCTATGAACACCATTCATAGAAGCATTCAAATATATTCAACAATGTTTAACAACTGCTTTATGAAAACCTCTAACCCCTTATATAATATTCACAAGACACAGCCTTCCTTCCACAATTGTTTTTATTGTAAAGTTTGGAGGCGGAGGGTTAATCTTGCAGAATTTTTTTAACACTGGATTTAAAACGAGAGGAAAACAAATAAAACTGTTTACAAAACAAAAAGATCTGTACAAGTTCACACTTCATCTTAGAAAAACTCAGCCAAGCCCAGGGTGGTGACTGCAGCAGCCACACTGAGGACCCTTCTGGAAACAAATGAACAGCTGGAAATCAGCTGGAAGTCCATAATCAAAGAACTGTGGAATAGAGACATGTTGATGTGCATGACAAAAGCAGTCCATCCACAGGCTCCATCAGGCTGTGTTACGAGATGACTGTGGAGGTCACAGGGTTCCAAGGGTCAGAGTTCAATGTTTACTCTTCTTGGTCTTTTTGTGCGAGCGATGTGGTGATCGGGACGATGACCTCCAGGATTTGTGCTGCGGTGATGGTGATCGAGAGCGTTTTGACTTCCGCGGTGATCGAGATCTTGTTCTTCATGGGATAAAGAGTGACGGAGGATAAATTGAGAGGTAAATGGTGGGTAAAATTACACACAAATATTTAATATTGTAAAATGACCAAGAACAACTAGTTAGTTGATTTCTAGTCAGTTGGTTTCTCTTTCTATGGTGCTGTGCTGGGTAACCTCACAAACAGTGAAATCTCACTTCTCCAACATCCCACTTGTATACTGCATGTCATAACACAACCATTCAAAAGTTTGAAGGCATATACAGTGGGTACGGAAAGTATTCAGACCCCCTTACATTT